CTCTCCCCGGGCGGAGCCGGCGGCGAAGACCGGCAACTCCGGTCCGGCCCCCTCGGAAGGGGAGAATGCGGCTGCCACCCCCTTGCCCTCCTGCCGCGAAGTCCGAGGTGTCGGGACGTGGGGATTTAGGGAGGTGCGGTCGGCGGCCGGATCCTACCCCCGCGCCCGCCCTCGCCCTGCGGGGTTAAGCGAAGGCTCGTGAGAGGCAGATGGCGGTCCTGGAGTCAGGTGCGAAGGGGAGGGCACAGGTGCAGGCGGGCCAAGTGGTCACAGGTACGAACCTGTTATAGCTCCTCTCTTCCAAACCCACAACTGTGCTTTATGTCACCCGTAAGTGTTGCTCGCCTATACGTTCCCAAACTCACCAAGCCTATAAATAGACCCATTACCCAATAAACCGAGCCTCAGCCCTCATCTGCTTCCCTGTGGCATTACGATGGACAGCAAGTAGCACGCGAAGCGCTGGGAGGCGACGGCCCTGGGCGCAGGATAGAAAGGAAGAAATTCAAACGCCTTCCGGACCCTCGCACGCCAGTCTATCAAAGGGCTGCAATGACAGCAAGCCAAGCCCGAGATGCTCTTCACGGGGTGGGGTCCTGGACTCTCTCCTTCCAGAGACGGTTGACGTTCTTCTGCCGGGAGGAGTAGGACACGAGGAGCTAACTCAGGAAATGGGTTTTAATAATGTGCAAATACTACGGTTTCAGAGCCTTAAGGAGCTTGTGTTTAAAATGATGAGCTCCCATTTGGATTTAGTTAGGGATTCAGGGGAAGGGCACGGAAAGTGACTTATGCTACTGATAAATACCCTTCCATTAAAAAGTGATTTAAGTTTATCTTTTGATAAAACGCTTATCAACTAGCATAGCAAATCATCATGTATTATTTTAATTACTTTCCTAGAAATGATCATTAGCTTATCATGTGAGTCTTAAGAATGAGATTGTTAACAGTGTTTCTGGTCAGTTACCTTTCCCTTCAAGGTCTTCCTTATTCAATCTTACAAAGGTGGCTTAGGTCACAATCATTACCTGGAGATGCAAGGGGATGATAATCACTATGTGAACAGCTACAATGAACTCTTCTGCCACAAAAAAGCTGGAGGTGTTCATGAATTTTCAAATAAAATCACTATTTAAGAGTCACTGTGTTGTCATTGCTATTGTTATTGGCCTGTTAAGGGGAAACTTAGTATTTAATGTATACTGTGATGTTTTTGACTGAAAGTAGCAGGAAGAGATTCTTACATGTGACAGTCACAAGGTTCCTTGGGTTTGTAGGAGGATCTTAAGAATCATAGCGCTGAGAAGGCAGAACACCTTCTAGTTTAGCGGATCTTCTTAGATCCACTTTCCCTCTGTAAGCATACATAGAATGTCAATAGAATAAGTTGCTAGAAATCTTTTTAGCGTGGGTATTGTCCTTTCAGCACCAGTTCCAACAGCTTGATTTCAGCTAACCAACCAAATGAACAGCATCTCTTGAGAGAGTGGGATGAACTTTTAAAATTATCTATTATTTCAGAAGAAATGATTCTGATCTTGAACTGTGGGATTTTATTTTTTAGTTATCCCTTTCACGATATTTCTTGAACACAAATGGAAGAAAAAATGTGAACTCAGAAATATCACAATATCCGCATGCATTATTCTATTTACTCTGATGGAAAAAGTCTATTTAGAGATATTGATTGTCTTGTTCTATCCACAAGCCTTTTTTTGGACATTAAAGTATTTATATAGCATTTTACCTTTAAATAGTCATCCTTTATGATCATTTTATTAGGTATTTTCTCCCATTGGTCTTGTGTGGCGTTAATGTTCCTCTTTAACAGATCAGAAAACTGAGTCCTAGGAATATTGAGTCATTCAAAGTGACTGAGCAGATGGGGCCTGAGGCTGCTGCTTTTTGGAGGATCTCTATCACGTAGACTTCTTGGAGCATTATTGTTTCTCCAGCCCTTATGACTTAGTCCATGTAGCTATTTTCATCATCCTTAAAAAAATCTATTCATATTATATGGTAACGAATAATAGAACTGGTTTTGTTTTGGGTTGTTTGACTATCTGGTGTCTGGGACATCACAGAACTGTAGGATGAGTCAGACCTTAAATGTTGTCTCGTCTGCCTCATCTTCTCCATCATTGTAGAGATAAAGAAATTGATGCAAGTGACTTTCCTCAAGTATTCAAGGGGAGAGTAGATGAAGCCCCAACCCACGTGACTCCAGTGACATGTTCTTTACTGTATACCATGCAAAAACCTTTTCTTGTGTTACCATTATATTCTCTCAAGAAGCATAATTTCCCAGTGGAGATTAAATAAAATGTTATAACAACAAGAACAACATCCATTTTGGCTAACAGCCATGCTACCACATCTGAACAGAATAGTAGGGCAAAGGAGAGGCTAATTATATTTCAAGGAAGTGCAGTCTTTCACCTCTGTCAGTGGTTTATCCGAAGGCACAGGCAGGGTAACAGGCACTTAACATTTGTATGCCCTATTACAAAGTACCAAGTCACTTTTCACAGAATATCACCTTTGATCCTCATAAGTTATCAGAAGAGACACAGTGTCTCCATTTTAGAGTTGAAGGAACTAAGAATCCTCAGGTTAAGTGATTTACCTATAGTTAGTAACAGGCAGAGTTAGAAAAATGCAATTAGAGGCAGATCAGGGACTGGTTGGCAGTTGTTTTAGTTTATTCATTCAACTCAAATTTATTGAATGTATTTATTGAACACTGAAGATATAGTGGAAAACAAGATACCCTCCTTACAGTTAGTAAGTTACATTCTAGTGAATCTTGGTTCGAGGTTCTTACCCCTGTTCCAAACTGTTGACTGGCTGCAACTGTTATTTAGGTCTGTCACTGTTAAGATGTTTACCAGTTTTGGTGGCACTAAAATCTACTTTAACTTTCTTTGATACATTTTGAATCTCATTTGAAGGAAAGATTTGATAATTATCTGTGTTTTGGATTGTTGAAAGTAGTCAGTGGGAATAATTAATACCCCAGATTCTTTTTGCTTATGGTCATGTGAGTGATTATTTTAAATTCTACTGGCTTTGTTGCCATATAGGCAAAGCCAGCCTGTTTCTCTTTATATTCATGGCTGAAAAGTGTTGTTCCAGAATATTTTTTGATAGTTGCTTAAATCTGCAGGCACTCGTTGTCAGAATGCTCACTGAAGCAAATAGGAGATCTGCCTGAGGAAGGCTGGCAGACCTTGGTGCCAGGAAACTACAAAAATATTAGTCTAAATGGTCCCATTCTAGGCAGAACATATGTTTTAGTGTTCAGGAACCTATATCAAACAATTATAGGTGCCAGTAAGAATCCATGCACATTAGCAGGCGTGAAATGCAGCACATTTTGGTACAGATTTATGTACATGTATAATTTACAGATTGCTAAATCAGCTGTGTTTTTGTATAGTGTTAAGTTGGTTCAGGTTGTTGATATAATTAGTTAGCAAACAGGATGAGAGCCATGGGTAATGTTGTGTCTTCTCATAGATGTGTTGAGCCATGGTAATATTTATAAAACAGAAAACTGGTTAAAAATCCATGTGGCTCTAAAAGGGGAGTGAGTGATAATCTGGATTACCACCAGATCAGCAGACCTTGTTTTTCTTATAGTGGGCTGTAAGATAACCTTCAGCAAAGGCCTCGCTGTCTTTCTCCAAAAGTATCAAAAAGTTAAATCTATTGACTGATGTTAGCTGGGAGAGTGGAGGATGAAGCCTTGTGATTTAATGTTGAGGCAATAAAGCTTCCAAACTCCATGATTTTTATGAAATGTATCTATTTTAACATTTTAACTTAAAAGGTGAGATGCATTTGAGGAACACTGTGGGTAAATTGAATGCTTGGCTTCATTCTTTCAGATGCCGGTTCTTCATTTATGGTTGGATTTCATCTGGCAGTGGTTTCTTGAACATTACCTTGAAACTCTTCAATTCTTCCCTTCCTTTTAATTTTTGTTAGTTAATGGGCTGTGAACAAACATTTAAAATCTAATCTACTTTAGTTATTTATTCAAAGGAATTCTTTTCATAGAGTGAGTGTCTGCTTTATACATTTAGGACATTTGAACTATCATTTTGATTTTTTTTCTATTTCTGTATTTCTGTCTCTAAATGGCCACACCTACGATGATAAGAAAGAGAAATAGAATCACAGAATCTTAGGTCTGAAGGGACATGTTATACAATTCCTTTTTCATTGTTTGAAACCTGTCCAGAACATTCCTCCCAGTGGTTATCCAGCCCATGCTTGACTAGCTTCAGTGATGGGACACTCACTTTCTTACGAGGAATATTCTGTTTTTAAGCAGCTATGATTGTGAACTAGTTTCTTTTTTTCTTTCCTTCGCCTCTCTACCGCCTTCTCCTCCTCTACCTTTTTTTGTTGCTGTTGTTTGTTCTCACCAAAATCTTTCTCTTATAACTACCACTCATTTGAGGTCTGCCCCATGAAACTAAATTGACCTAGCTCACTGCTTTTTTCAGCTGCAAGCCTTTAAAAAGATCTTTTTGATAACAGTTATTTTGTCTTGATTCTTCCCCTCTTTTGACCTTTTAAATTGTTTAATGCTACAAATAGAAAACTATGTAAAACAATTTTGTAGCGCTTGACACATTTCTATAAGGTGAACACTGTGTGTCATCACCATCCATATCAAGAAATAGAATCTTGCCAGCACTCCAGATGCCGCCTGGGACCTT